CATTCTGGTTTTTCTGATGGAGACAAAAGTGGGTTTTGTTCAAATGGATCGTATCAAGCGCAAACTGGGGTTTAAGGGTTTATTTATTGTTGACCCTGAGGGCATGAGTGGTGGGATAGCTCTGCTGTGGAAGGATAGACCTATATGTTCCCTCTTGAGTTACAGTCGCAATTTCTTAGACGTCACGATGAATATATCAAGTCTTTCTAAATTCATTTTAGAAAGATTGTATCAAGCGCAAACTGGGGTTTGAGGGTTTATTTATTGTTGACCCTGAGGGCATGACTGGTGGGATAGCTTTGTTGTGGAAGGATAGACCTATATGGTCCCTCTTGAGTTACAGTCGCAATTTCTTAAATGTCATGATGAATATATATCAGGTCTTTCTAAATTTCATTTTATCGGCTTTTATAGCTGTCCAGAACGGAATAAACGACGATAATCCTGGAATATGTTGCTGTCGAAATTTACTATTCACGTGAATAGTAATTTTGTAGAAACTGATAGAATTTACCAACCAAAAGCTCTGATACCAGTTGTTGGGATTATAACTTATCCCGAGTAGGGCCCGCAGAAAAATGCTCCAATAATTACGTATTGGATATTGACGATTGAATCCACCAGAAATAATTGCCCGAGTAGGGCCGCAAGTAAAAAGATGCCTCGCAATAATTAACAGTATTGGAATTGACGATTGAATTCCACAGAAATAATAACTCCACAGTAAAAATTAAATAATTACCATAGTAATGCCAGAATTGATAAAAATAAGGACCCCGGAAGATTTACGATAGAGTTCACCTTTCAAATTCTGTTATGGCCTAACCGTCACACGGGAAAAAAACTGTCGCAAATAATTTTCTTACTAAAATAGTAGGTACATAAAGAAATTAACAAAAATAATGAAAGTAACCTGCTAAGTTGTTTCCCAAAAACACTCAAAAATTACAAAATCTCAACTATTTTCATCTCTTTCCAATTTTAGTAGCGAACCCTTTCCTAAAATTTTTTACACTTAACTCGTGAGATCTTTTCGTTTAATGTTTTTTGATAACATAGTTTACTTGGAAAATCCCATAATCTTCTCTTATAATGAAGAGAAGGGAATGCGTCATTAACAGCGGTCCGACGGAAATGGATGCAGTTTATATCACTTGCGTCCATATTTAATCCTTCCATTTTTCTTCATTGCACGTCGTGTGAGATCCCCAATGAATTTGAATCTCTTTCTTTTTCTTTTGTTTTTTCGTTTCTTTGACCAACCAATAAAAACGTGTTGTTTCATTTTTTTTTTTCTTTTCAGATGTGTAGGGTGGGTCCCACACCGTCGGAGGGACCCCACTACATAAATATGCCCTTGCCGAACCAAAATAAAAAATATTTCCTATGGAAAGGGCTCTTTTAATGTGTTATTACCATTTTTGCGTGATGTTAAGGGCTAGACATATGAAATGTTACAAGCTTGTTTTGGTCCAATACAAATGTAATTCACAGCAATTAGTGAAAACTGATGTAGTACAGCCCAGTTGGAAGGAAGCTTGTGTTATTTAGGCCTTGCGAATTGTGGAAATGCAACGCAATTCTCTTGTTTGGGAACAAGAAGCTTTGCTGACTCTTTTAGTCTGGTTCGAAAAAGCACGATTTTCTTCATGCCTTTGGCAAGCTAAACAAATGGGGCCACTGTTTGCTTCGGTAGTGGTACGTGATAGCTAGCTACGCGAACCAATCGGAATGGTAATGGCGGGTGTTGGGGTGGCTTATCAGACAGTTATGGCCACTATGTTGGTGGCAGAATGCAAACGTTCTCTAAGTGTTTCCCAAAAACACTCCAAAATTACAATCCTCACTATTTTCTCTCTTTTCCAATTTTAGGAACCCTTTCCTAAAATTTTTTACACTTAACTGTGTAGATCTTTTCGTTTTATGTTTTTGTACATAGTTTAGGAAAATCCTTCTCTTATAAATAGGAGAAGGGGATGCGTCATTAACGCGTCCACCGAATGGATGCGTTAATCACGCGTCCATTTTTCCTTCCTATTTTCTTCATTGAAACGTGTGTGGATCCCACATGTTTGAATCTCTTCTTCTTTTGTTTTCTTTCTTTGACCAACAATAAAAACGTGTTTGTTTCATTTTTTTTTTTCTTTTCAGATGTGTGTGGGTCCCACACGTCGGAGGGACCCCACTACATAAATATTCCCCCAAAAATAAAAAATTTCCTATGGAGGGCTCTTTTTAATGTGTTACCAATTTTTGGTGTGTTAAGGGCTAGACATATGAATGTTCCATTGTTTTGTCCAATATGTACTCAGATTAGTGAAACTGATGTAGTACAGCCCAGTTGGAGGAAGCTTGTGTTATTGCCTTGGAATTGTGGAATGCACGCAATTCTCTTGTTTGGGAACAGAAGCTTGCTGACTCTTTTAGTCTGGTTCGAAAGCACGTATTTTCTTCATGCTTGGCAAGCTACAAATGGGGCCACTGGTTCTGCTTCGGTAGTGGTACGTGATAGCTAGCTACCGACCATCGGATGGTATGGCGGGTGTTGGGTGGCTTATTCAAGACAGTTATGGCCACTATGTTGGTGGCAGAATGCAAACGTTAGGCAGGGTGGCAGGAGTTCTAATGGCAGAGGTGCTTGGTATTAGAGAGGCCCCCAACTGGCTTAAGCTTCGATACCAGCGTGTCCCGGTCATTATTGAAAGTGATAGCTTGCTGGCCATCTAGGCTTTAAACTCCAACCACAGGATTTTTCTTATGTTGGCTCAATTATTGCTGATTGCAAAACTCTCTATGGCGAGTTCTCTTCTTTGTCTCCCTTTTGTCACGAGATCAACGAACCAAGTAGCATATCTATTAGCTACGGCTGCTGGTTCTAAGACTGATTCAATGGAGTGGTCTATGAGCTACCCACCTTTTATTCATAATGTAGTTTTGATGGAAGCTAATAATACTTGAACCATCTTTTCATTCAAAAAAGAAAATGGATAAATGACAATATCAATAAGCTGGTTATGTGGTTATAAAAAATAATAATTTTTATTTTTTTTTCTCATACAATGAACTCGTAACAAATTCTGAATTAAATTAGTTAATACGAATCGTTATAAGTAAAATGAATAGGAATTCAATAAAATATAGTTTGCTACATAGTTTGTCATTCATTATCATATTACTTGATGTTTTAAATTCTAGAAGTTAAATTTTTTAAAAAAATTAGATAATTCAAATTGTGAGATTGTGATTGTTTTTTTTTTTTCGAAAGCTGTGAGATTGTGATTTAGTTTTGGCTAAAATGTATATTGTAACTTCGATTAAGCTTATGGATAAGTGATGTATCTATATGTATATTAGATGTGCATATTTGTGACATGGTTGATTAGCGAATGATAAAGATAAGATGAATGTATGAATTAATGATGGGGGAAGGGCTTTGCTAATTAAATCTCATGGGATGGGCTATTTGTATTTGTATTGAATTTTCCTTGACTCTTGAACAGGCAGTTACTCTTTTATAGGAAAAATGTTGTCGGATTTTCCGCAAAGTACATATTAGGAACCAAAATCAATTAAGTAAATAAGGGGCATTAAGTATTATAAGTAATATTATTATTATTATTATTAAAGTTAGCAGTAGTGCCATCATTAGATTCGAACATTAATGTGGATCTATAACTTTGATCGAGGATAGGTTAATAAGTTGGAATTGGAAATTAAACAGTAACCAGCATCACGAATCTAAATCCCTCAACAAGAATTCTTATGCAAAGTTTTCTTTTTAGATGCCTTGAGGATTCCAAAAAACCATCTGTCAAATGGCAAAAGCCGAGAAATGGAGACTAGCTTCTAAGATGAATTATGAACTGTGAATAGTGTTAGATAACTTGATTGCCCATTCATGGATATTATGATCTCCAAGTGATGCTTTCTTTTCCTATTAATTTTCTTTTTAATTTCCAAGTGATGCTTATATTTTCTAAATGAATTCTTCTTACATGAATAAATGCCTAGAGTTTTGATTAGTGAATTGGACACGAGTAGTTTCCACATTCTTTTCATGTCCTAAACATACAGTGTTCTAGACCTTAGTTTTAGAGAAGAACATCGATGATGAAGAAGCAAGACAATGAATTTGTGGCGTTGGTCGTCCACCATGGATAAAGTAAGTCTATAAAAAAAAGGAAAAAGAAAAATAGATCTTTTTTATTGTATTTTTCACAAGTCAGCATTTCTTTTTTTACACATTAGCGCGTTTGAAATTCAAACATTTTCGTTTTCTTGGATGAGTGTTTAATAGTAGTAAATTTACAACTTTAGAGGGCCACGAGCTCATTTTCAAAGTAAAGGGAATCACATGATTTTTGTTTCACAAGTCAGAGGCAAATGATGTATTAGGCCAAAAGTTAATGCTTGTATAATGTGGAAATGATTTTTGTTTCATAAGCATACTATGGTCCTTTGCGGCCTTAAGCCACCCAGATTCTAGTGTCAATCCGGCCCAAAGTGACTGGTTGTAACAATTATGCATCAATACAAACTTGTTGTCATCTACATGTTAGTAAAAGACTATAATTTGATTTGATTTGTTTCTTAATTGGTAAAAACTAGAACTAAAATCAAGACAATAAATTACACTCAATATGAAATTTATCAATTCAACATGTTGATTATACTGATATAATCCTCTTCTTTGAATATTGTTCACCAAATGGTTACCTTTCACCCTACTCTACACATCTTCTGGAAGACTTGAGAAAACCAACTAGAAGACAATTACTTGACAATTCTCTAGTTTTTAATTGTTCTTTTTTGTTCTGTTTTTCAAAATAAATCCGACATTAACCGAAAACTTCTAGACATTATTGAAAAGTCTCTTAACTTTTCCAAAACCTGGTACTAACGACAATTTAAATGACTGATGGATTTGATCAAAACGAACCACTTAAATGACATTCCAAAACCGGGCATTACCAATGAGAGCTGCAATAAGAAAGCCAAAGAAAAGGAAGAAATCGAAATATAATTTACTAATCTCGCCAATTCTGGCACATTTAGGAAAAACCCAAGAGTAATTGTCACAGAAATTGGGGCATAAGTTTTCTTCACATTACAATCATCATCACACTCGTGAGTAGTTTTACACTCTTATCAAAGATTGCTTCTATGAACAAAAAAGTGGTTTGTGGTAACCAAGACATTCCGAATTCAGATACAACAAACAAAAGCACTCTCTTATTCTCCTATCAAAATGCATAGGTGCTGAAAGATGGCAAAGGAACTCTGCAGGGGCATTTCAAATCCGGCAAACTTCTTACAGGTCTTCAGGGCCATTGATTTCCTGTTGGAAAACCAAAAACAGCGATCGAATTAAAAAAAAAAATGCATTAGTTATATGAAAATATTCACCAGATTGTAATATCTTACCTTGTTCTCAATTACAGCTCCATCTGGTATTTCCAGTTTTACACCAGGTTTTGCTGCTATAGTCACTTTTCCCTACAACAGTTGAAAAAGTGCCCGTCAAATGCCCGCATACAAAAGGTGCAAGGTCAATAATACAGGACTAGTAAATTTAACAAGTTCTGAAAACTAGTGTGAGACGAGCTAGGCATGGCTCCCAATGATATTTTCATAGAAATTCGCAGAAACATCTGCACATGTAAGAGCGGACAACTGAATCAATAGCTAGGCACTTGGAACAGAGGTTCCTTCCTAATTTCTAACGCCTAACCCTGTCAAATTAACAAAGTAATAAAAATAATATCTTCAGATTTCTTATTCCTATTCCTTCCTGTTGTATGTAGCCAAACACCCTAGAAATGAGAATGAATCTTTTATTTACTAGTTCTAAAATTTCATGTGAGCATATACTTCAAAAATTTTTATTGGGGGGCCAAAATTATTTTCTACGATGCATTTAATTTTTATTTTAGCTATTATTCATTAGTTATAAATATTTTTATTTTTCTAGTCGGGTTGAATCACATACCTTGAACATCAATGAGACAAAGCTCAATAGTTTGAAAATAAATATTTATTTTCATATCAACATTCAAATATGCTTGTTGTATATTTTTAATTTAATTTATTAAAGTAAAAATTACAAAGAATACGAACAGATATCAAATATTAAAAAATTATTTATGTTTTCATTCTTAGAGTTTGTGTAATTTTTCTTTCAACCAAACTTTTGAAAGATAAATAAAATTATGACGAAAGAAAAAATTTATTTTTTACAATATTTTTTTTTTATGATATAAAAGATGTTTTAGTATGGAACTCTTTTTTTAGTACTTTAGTGGGCATTTTGATTTTCACAACCCAAAATCTATTTATTTTTTCAAGTAGACTTAAAAAAATGAAAAAAAAAAATCTAAACAAATAAAAAAGGGGGGCTCTAAAAATTTTTGGCTCTCCACTGTATATGGGTGTGTCTACTGTTGAGTTAATTAATGGTCAAAGATGGGGAAAATTAAAAGCAACAAAGGTGTATATTATACCTTGAGAGTGATACCAGCACCGAACCATACATCACCCGTCACCTTAAGGCTATCAAGCTCAATGATGCTAGGGATAGACTTAAATCGACTCAAGAAGTTGGCAACCTTTCAAGAACAAGCAATAAATAAGTATTTACAATTAACAAATTAAACTTCTGTTAGAGTACCAAATATCAAAACAACTCTTCACCTTCTTAAATTCTGGACCCAGCTCAATAGAAGGATTTGCAGGATTCTTTCTAGCTTTATTTCTGATAACAAAGCCATCCTCCAAGGTGTAAAGATCAGACTGCCAAATAGCCAACAAGATGAGTTACACATGTCTCAAATCTTAGCTAAGCCTTCAAAACAATTATAGGAAAAAAGACAACCTGGACAAGAAGCAAATCTGAAGTTGCCTTCACTGGAAGGAAACGAGATCGAGGAACATTGATACCAATTGCATGATCAAAAAACTGATTGACAGGAGATTGAAACAATCATATTAACAAAAGAAAAGGATAATAGCATAGCTTCAAAACTTAAAATTCTTTTTTAAAAAAAAAAAGTGTACCCTAATAGCTGCACCAGCGGCAGTTTCTAGCTGAAGAACTTTAACTCCATCTACTTCCTGAAAAACAGTATCTATATGATCAACAATTTCACCATCTGAAACAATAAAATAAAGCATCAATAACAGTAAATACGGAGGGGTGAATGAGACTGAAATACCTTTGGGTTAGGAATTATCTCCATCTTTAGTGCGTCGGATTCTACAAGCCGTTTAATTGCTGACAAGTTCACCCACCTGTTTTTGTATTATACTTTTAGTACTCCAACCATCAAGGCTTTTATCTCAAAAAAAATAATAATAAAAATAAACCATCACGGTATTGTTACACAGGTGGTAAAATTAACTTACAAATTGTTTGTATTGAAAATTTTGAACTTCTCTATTGACTTGAATTCATTAACCTGTTTGAAACAAAGTTGATCCATAAACTTGTAAAACATACTCTAAAAAGAACACTATAAAATCCCTGTTGAGGTCAACGCACTCCCTTTTCTCAAATGTGCCACTTTGACTTGCCTATAACCACAGGCTATAGTGGATATTCTGACTGAAGGCATGGCTAGATCTTCATTCTAAAGATAGAGAAGTAAACTTGAAAAGGAAAAAACAACTACAGATATAGGATTGTATTGTGCTTACATGTTCATCAGGGACTTGTGCAATCTCCAATAGCTGCATCACAGGTTCAAGGAAAACAAAATTAGTCAACGTCACTGCTAGTTTCTTCCTCTTCTTCTCCAGAGACAGTGTGGAAGGAGAAAGAAAAGGAGTGGGAATGGCTTTAGTTAAAGCAAGGGTGGGGTATGGGGTGAGTGATAAGAATTGCTAGGGCATTCATCAAATCAAGAATATGAAGTTGAAATATCAAGAACCTTGAACAGTAAGGCAGTATTCTGACACCATTATCTGATAAATACTGCATAATATACCATGATCTGATTTTCAGAGATGCATTATAAAATTGCTGTCAAAAGGCAAATATGCCTGCTACATATATTACTTACATACTTCATTGTAATTACTTTTTGCATTGACATATAGAATGAGATTTAAAATCACACAGTTGGGCATGCTAGGTTCTCATATAAAGAATATTCTAATTCAACTGCAAACCCAAATATGTCCATCAAGGCTACATTATAATATAGAAAAAACAGTAAAATTACTAAATGGCCTTATGTCAATATAACATTTATTTAAGTTGCCCACTAGTAAAATTTCTGAGAGGGAATCTTTAAGGAATATATATCCCCTTTTGCCACATCCGTAGAAAAAACAAGGACCAGCATAAGGATTATATACCTGAACCTTCCCTTCGTAAGAGATGAGAGTACCACCCTTTACATCAGCTAGGGTTTTGGGTGTCACCTGCAAAAGGCGAAATATAAGAGAACAAAACTTAAAAACCATAAATGCAATTAACAACTGCATTCTTGTTTTTCATTTTTGTTTACCTCCATGCAGTATTCATTCTTGTTTCTGATCAGATGACTTAGGATTTCTGTAGCAATTAGTCAAGGTAAATTTTCTAGAAGACTTAAAATCCAAGCATGTTCATCTTTAACACAAGTAAACAAGAAAACTAAAGGCCATAAACTGATAGCACAATGAGATACAAAATCAGGATACTCAAATCAACAATAGCACCAAGGTTATCTGAATTGGCAACAAACACGTACTCTTTGCCCTGCAAAGAGGAGAAGGAAATAGAGAAAATAAAAAAAATCAGTACGATTGAGGAAATGAACTTCATATCATCACAAGGGCCATATAAAAAACTGCACCGAAGCACAAACCTGCGATAGCAAAGTATCAAGTTTGCCACTATTCTTCAAGGATGGGAACACATCACCATGTCCAGGAGGATACCTTCACATGGACAAGAAAACCTTGAGCTCAAAAAGAATGCCATTGAAAGGAACTTTTCAGCACAATTAACAATATATTGATGATCAAAAATTTTTACTACAAAATTCTTCAATACATCAAGTCTTGCACTATCCCCCTCATACCTCAGGTGTTTTTGAATTCAATGCTATATTTCAAGCAATTCTCCCAACTGCCTCATTGGTCAAAGTTACATGTTGTTTAGGAGTCATCAGAAGTTAATACGTAACGGCAAATAGCTTAAGTAACAGAGATGTTGAAAGTAAGATTCAACATATTATTAGCAAGGAGCTATGTTTTCAACAGCTGGTGCTCCACACATTAAGCTATGCTACAATCATCAGTAAGCTTATTAGAGCCTATTTAGCATTGTTGTTCTTGAAACAATTTTGATGATGTTGAGAAAACCACCCTTTTAGATGATGTTGAGAAAAAAGTAATTTTGTAGTGCTTTTTAGCTAGTTTGTGGCTTTTATAACTGGTTTGTATGAGAATCACCTCAAAAACAAACTTTAAAACCCTCTAACAAAGTGCTATTTTCCGACAGCTGCCCAAACAGGAGTGCTAAAGACAAAGTACGTATAACAGGCATGTCTCCACCAAAAACTAACAGTGAAAGGTCGAATTAGATTCTAGGAGTTCATGGAGTCTAATAACGTGGAAGTTAGAAAAGGAACACTAGAAGGTATCTAACCTTTATTAGAAAGATTGATGAAGGCAAAACTGATCCTTTTTTGGGTTTTAAAAGAATGCCGGATTGGTGGGGTGGGGGAACAGAAAACTAGATGGTTAACATATTCGAAAAACAAGACAGATACATCACTTCATTCATTGAACAGGTTTTACACAAAATTTGCCATATAAAGCATCCGATACAATGCACAACTATTATATGTTCACAAAACAGTAAAATCAAATATCATGAAGTTGCAGATTATATAAATTCATATTCGAAACGATCAAAATAAATGAATTATACCATCCATCCTTGCCCGTCTGTCCTTTGCATGGCAAGGGAGTAAAATCTTCAACAACTATACGAGGATACTGGCTCTGCATGGAACCCAAAAGGAAAAATCATGAATCCATACTTTCTATATTATCAGTATCAGGACCAAGCAGTAATTTTCCACACCTGGTTGAAAGTGTGAATCTCAACGTTTGACTTTGAGTACTTCTCTATAATCTAAATTGAACAAGGGTTAGTTAATTTAAGGGTTACATCTAATAAAATAATTGACAAGAATTGAATTAAAGATCAAAATGAGGCACCTTCTGAGTATCGTCATGAGTGTTGAAGGAGTTCATTAGAAGCAAAGGAACATTGCATCCATATTTGGAATTGAGATGCTACAGTAGCCACAAAGTCAGTTGCAGGCAAAGATGGAACAAACGAGAAAGGCAAAACCAAAGTCAAAGCTAAAGAAAAACCATAACCTCAATCTGGATGACAATAAGGTCAAGGAATGTCAATCCATTACGAACTTCAATGACGGACCTGACCACCCAGAAAGAAAATTACATGATTAAATTAAATATAAATAACAAAAAAAAAATACAACAAATTGGACAAAGATGCAATACTTGGGTCCCGTGCAGCCCATTGTTGTCCCCAATCCTCCATTAAGCTTCAAAACGACAAGTTTGTCCAAAAGCTTCTTAGTCTCTGCTGGATCTGCAACAACCCAAATGACTCCTGGTCATCTTATTTGAAAAAAAATAAAAGAAAGAAACCATAGAATTGAAAGAAACCATAATCAAGATATTTGGTTATGATAAAGATGACTACCATCAGGAACAGGCGCCAAAGTGTCATAAGGAACCACTACTTCATCAGTTGGTGTTTGAATCTTGCTCCAGTCCACGTGCTGTGCTTCCCCGCTAATTTAACCCACAATTTCAAAGGAAAAAAACAATCAATAACATGACAAATCTAAATCATTCAATCTGAGATCAAATGAATTTGAATTACCTGAGATAGCGAGCAACGAGGCTAATAAATCCATTTTTCTCATTCTCACTGCAAAACCAAAATCAAAATTAGATCCAATCCAACAACATGGAAAACTAACAAAACCCAATACAATAACAAGACAACCCACAAACCTAAAATCAACAAAATCAAAGAATTAAATACCTGATTTGATTGAGTCCAGCCACAGCAGACTTAAGAGGAGTAAGCTTATCCGTGGCAGCAGCCATTGCTGATTAGTAATAAAGCTCTGATCTAGGAAACAAACAGAGGAGAAGGTGATACAGTATTGACATGGAACGATAATGAAATGAAAATATCAAATGCTTACATATACGGAGGGACGGGGTGATATGACATAGTAAAAATAAATAAATAAATAAAAGGTGATATTATATATGTGTACCTGGAATAACAGAGAGATTATTATTTGAAATAGAAAATGTGAACGGTGGTAGTAAGGGACAAAAATGGAGATGGGATCGTAGCGATGAGAAACAGGTATGGTCAGGGAATGGATCGTTGGGGATCTTATAAAAGAAAGCTTGGATGTGTCAGTGCGAGAGAGAGGGAATATGCGAAGACGAGTATAACGCTTAGCCCATAGAAAAGGAAAGGAAGGTAAAGAAAAGGAGGGAGTGGCGCTTATTTTACGCAAAGGTCGACGCGTCGCTTGTTTTCTTTTGCTATCAGGGGATATGCCTCGGTAACTAAAATCCTTTATGTTTCCGTTTTCTTATTAAACTTCTATATTTTATAAGCTAAATTTATTTAAATTTAGCACTTTTTTTTTTTTTTTTTTAAGGGTTGTTCGTGAGTTTATTGGGTTTGGTTTGAAGCGGTAATCAAACCAATCCTAAATGGCAGCGAAAAAAATTTTAAAATCTAATCATCAAAAATTCAAACTAAATTAAACCTTAGTGTTGATTTGATTCGCAGTTTAAAAAGAGAATTAAATTTTCTCATATATGTTAAACCTTTTGCCACCATGAGCCACTATAGCTTATATCATAAAGCTAAACTTTAAACTTCAATTTTGTTGCTCGCTGCAAGCCTATGTTGCTCGCATTAAGGTATAAAGCCCAACTTTGAGCCTCTATTGCTCATCACGAGCCTTTTTCACTTACATTAAGGCATTAGGCTTTGGTTGTGTCGAGCTTTTACAACTCGTATGAAGTCTCTACCGCTCAGCCCGAGCCTATTGCACTCGCTTTGAGGCGAATAACCAAATTATAAGCCTTTATTACTTACTTCAATCCTCTATTATTAATCGAGCTCTTATCATTTGCTCTAATGGTGCATTAGTCCAAACTTTAGGCTTCCATTGCAGAACCTAAGCCTCCATCACTCACTACCATGCCAATATAGTTTTTTTTTTTTAAAAAAAAAAAAGGAATAACTTTACCTTAAGTTTGGATAAGCAAAAGGGAAAGAGGCATTTCGGCAACTTAAAATCTACAAAATGATCAAAGGCACAAGAATTATATACGTGCCATGTTTTATTTTAGTTTGCACTATCTAGCTTATAGGGGTGAATAACTTAAAGCCTTAGTAGCTCACCCTATCTCGTTTTTGTGGTAAACAACTAAAGACCTTAGTCTCGCCCTACTAGTCTTATGCAGGTGAACAACTTAGAACATCAATGGATTGCCCCATTGAGCCTTATGTGGGTGAACAATTCAAGAGCCTTAGTAACTCCCGCTACTTAGTCTTATAAAGTCAAACACCTTAGAGCATTAATGGCTTATCCTAAATAGCCCTACATTGGTGAACATTCAAGCCTCAATGACGTGCCATAACAAACCCTACACGGATGAATAACTCGGATCCTTAACAGCTCGCCCTACCTAGCCCCATTTAGGTGAACATTCAAGAGCCCTAATTCCCCTATTGAACCCTATGAGGGTAAATAACTCAGGACCTCAGTTGCTCACGCTACTTAGAATTATGTGGGTGAATAGCTCATTCAATCAATTGCTTGCTTTAAGGAGCCCTATGTAGTTGAATAATTCAAGAGGCTCAGTTGGGCAACTGAGCCATACAAAAGTAACAACTCAAACCTTAGTGGCTCACAATACCTAGCCCTATATGGGTGAATAGCTTAAAGCCTTAATAACTCGCCCTAATGGACCATATATGGTGAACAATTTAAAGGCCTTAATAGCTCACCTTACTGAGAGCTTAGAGCTTCAATGGCTCACCCTACTTAGCACTATATATGTGAACAGTTTAGATACTCAAGCACTCACTCTAATGAACCCTACATGGGTGAATAATTCAAGACCTTGGTAGATCACATCAATAACTCACCCTACCCAACCTTATATGGTGAATAATTTAAGAACCCCAATAGCTCGCGCTACCAAGCCCTATACGGGCAAACAATTTAAAACCTCAATAGCTTGCGCTATTGACCCCTATGTGGATGAACAACTCAGAGTGTAACATTCCTTTCCGGTCCACCCGTTAACCCGAATGAACCGAATCGAGACGCTACAAACTGGTTGACTTTATGTCCTGTCATGCTGAATCATAATGTATACTGACTATTATATCATGCTGATGCTGTTTATATTAATACTGTACTTAAGATTTACAAGACATGATACTAGTGTCCAAACTGAAATGGGCCCAACTGTGTGCCTTGTACATGCCATGATAAGGATAAACAAAACCAAAATATCAAAATGCCAACTGTTGTGCCTATGTTACATGCCATTGATAAAGGATTTAAACAAAACCAAAATATCCAAAATGAGTAGCTACCTTGAAGACTGAGTCTTCCACAGATAAACTCCAGCAGTTTGTTAAGCTGACTCTCTACCGGTCCAGTTCCGAAAACCTTCACGAGTAAACAAGTAACTCGCTAGCAATAAAGCTTCAGGGATATCTCAAACATATAAAGAAACAAGTAAGCACATACATGTAGAATAACCATGTAAAACACATATGAATAACTAAAATGAGCACACATATTCATTGATTACTCTCATTATACTATTGATTCTTCATTCTTGCTGTTTATTATGCTGTATGACTCATTGCAATGTTTATTCAAGATATCTGTATTGGGCTCCATAAGATTATAGTGGAAACCAAAGGTGATTAAGAAAACATGGATGAAACTGGTATGAATACTGTAGACTTGGCTGCCTATGGTCCATATATTAATCATAATCCACTCAACGGCCTGTAGCTGGAGTACCAAAACTGTATTGGGGTGCCAGATCTGCTATCCTATGTCGGACATAGCCTTATCTACGTCGGTTTCTCCTAACCTCAATGAGCATTAATATCGGTATGTTAATAGTATAAAACAAAAGCATATTTAAAATCTTCATAACTTCATAAAACCATATTGTTTACTTTTGGGTTTCACCATTTCATTTGCATGCTTGCATGGCTTGCATGTTGTTTTGATACATGTTCTCATGTTGTCTTTTTATTTTAAAATGATTGGAGGCATACAAGTTGAGCAAAGGAATACAATTGCATAAAAAATGAGGTCCAAAAGAGCATCAGAACACAATTCGCGAGCGCACCAAGCAAAGTCGCGAGTGCGAGAAGCACACAAGAGGGTTAGAGAGTTTACAGGCCAAATTCACGAGCGCGCAATAAAATTCGCGAGCGCGAGAAGCGCAAAATGAGAGTCAGAGAGTTTACAGGCACAATTCGCGAGCGCGCAATGAAATTTGCGAGCGCGCGTCGTGTTTTTTTTTCCAAGCCTGCGCAGTCTTGTACTATTTTGGTTCATATCTCTCAATCTATAACTCCGATTTGGCGTGATTCAAAAACCCATGGAAGCTAACACATCAGAGGAACAAATACTCTTCTATGCCACTTCCTAATTCCATCGTTAATAGGGTCAAAAATTAAGGGAAGTTAACTGGTAAATTTTCCAAGCCAAAAACTGATTCAGCATAAACTCAATATCTACTTCATTTATTCATTTCATCCCATGCTTTCTCAACCATTCCAGTCCTCTCACTCAACAGTAAGCAAACATATTGTCTCATTATCAACACACCACACAAGTTCTCATGCAAAGAAAGTTGGTAAATGGACAAGAGATATCAATATCCTTCTCTCACAAAAAAAGGCTTTGAGCTCTTCTTAGCTTCCTTTTTCTGCTACCTTTTGAGCTCCAACTTACTCCTATACATAAAGAATTTTCTTATTGACTTATTCTAAATATAACTAAATTAGAGGTATGAATAACATAGGCTTCAAGAAAAATTCTACTTACTTGGATAAAATAGAGGGTTGACTTAATGCTATAACTTACCATGAAAATGGATGGAGAAAGGTAGGGAAAGAAGGGTAAAGGAAGGAAGATGAAGAAGATGAAGATTAAAGATTGAAAATGGAAAGTGAAATGGTAAGCACGGGTGGTATAGTGGCCATCAAAATATCAAATGAATTTATGTTGAAAATTACCAAAATGGTACCTCAATTGTCAAAAAGGTTACAACTTATAACCCAAGCTTTATATTTGAATGCAAAGCAAAGTTCCTAATTCCTTATACTTTGATCTTTTGTTTTATGCCAAATTAAATCCACTAATAAATCCACTAATAATCCCATTCTACCCCAACCGGGTTTGGTTCAGCCTGACTCAACTCGACTCTATGCAATGACTCGACTCAGTAGGATGTCACACAGAGCTTCAATCACTCATTGTAATGCCCAGAAATTTCGAGTCATGAATAGAAGCATTTTTTGGAATACGAATAGTATCACCAAGAAATGACCAGTATTTTTCCGGCCCGTGAATAGTATTATTCGTAATATTATTAGATTATGCGTTTTTATTAATAACTCTGAATTATGATCATAAATGTTTTATATGGTGACTTATTATTTTGTTATTATTACAACTCAATAAACAATTTATTATTTATAGTTACTGATTACGTTTTCAGTAACAACTTGCTATTTATAGTTATTGGTTTTCAGCAACAACTTGTTGTTTATAATTGCTGGATATATCCTCAATAACAGCGTATTATTTATGACTTAAGTTTATAATAAGTTGATGTAGATAACATCAAACCCACTTTTTTAAATCGGGGTATAAACTTAGATAAAATTATTAGAAAAGATGAATAGTACCTGAGAGGGGGATAATAGTAATATTGAGTGTAGAGATGGGGAATAGTGTAATTTATGAAAGTTAATTTAAAGTTTGATTGAAATGGGTTAAAGATTTTAGTGGTTAAAAGCATAAATAAGAAAATTTTTAAAAACTGATTATAGCCATTGGATTGAATAGTGCATAAGTAATCCTAGCATTTCATTTGAACTAAAGAGTTAATAAATAAATAAATAAATAAACCACCTAATGTTTATTATGAGATTTCTTCATCTTTAGCTGAACTCCTTACAAGCTCCTCTTCTTCATCAAAGAACAAAAGTTTGGCATTTCCAAAACTTTACTCATGGATTAGAAGTGAGACTTTGGCTATAATCTTGAAGTTTAAAAGCTTGAAGAATATGTTAAATAGTAATCGTGGAGGTCTAAACTTGAGGTATATTGAAAGTGACTTGGGGGAGGTTCTATCATGCATTTCACACGTATTATGGGCTAGCTTGCATTTTTATTTACTTTTATTTGATTTTCCTTGGAAGAGCAAAGAGAAGGATCTAAAAGAGAGAAAGGGAAATAGTTATTAAAGTGAAATTTTGAGCTTTTGAAAATA